TTACCCACCAATCCAATTCATGTATTTTGTGACGAGTATAAATAGGGAAGATGCAAATATAATATGAAAAATTTATGATCAAAATGTTAAAAAAATATAAAAGAAAGGCCACTGCAACGTTTTTATTTTACATAATGTTGTTTTTTAACAATAATTACGAATTAAAAATGACTTGAAAAAAAAACGTATTTTAAAACACCAATCAGCGTTTGCGTTTAGTGACGTCACTCCTGTTATGACAACTTATTAGAGGTTATGGTTGTAAAAGTGCAAATTAGTTTATGAGAATATTAATTGCGTTTTTTAATAAAAATGGACGTTGGGTTTATCAAAGCAGAGTCCAGGAATTTACCAAGAGTTAGTGTTGACATGGTTGTAACTTTTTGTTTTCAAGTGTAGAAATGAAAGGGACTAAATTACTACGGTATGTAAAATCACAGTTGTTAAACTTTGTATTTTATTCAGCGGCTTCTACACAGCATTTATTTCAGCTCAACAAGCGAATCTTACGGCGATAACGCAATCTGCTAAGTCCAAATTAAAAGAGATGGAGAATTATGTACAGTCACAAAGTCCGAGTTACTCCGGAGCATAGTACTTATAGAAGGTTATCGTATTACAGTTATTTTAAATGAAACGCAAAGCTTGGTTCAGTCCTGCCAATGTAAAGATTGTGCCACACATTTTAAACTTTATCCAATTTTCGAAGTCATTCAAATAAAAAAAAAATAGTCAAGTTTTTTAAGTATTAGGTAGTTTACTAACGCGTTTTTAGGTACAAGCAGATTTATTAAGCACATAACAAGTATATTCGCCGACTTACGTCAAAGTGATCTTCACAGCATCGAAAAATGGTCTTTGGAGAATAATTGTCATTTCTCTTCGCAGCTTGAAACCACTTATTTCTCAGTTTTGGGTCAATTAAATTAATTCAATCAAAAGTCAAAAACAATTTATTTGAAAACTTTGTTGAAGTAGATACATTGGCACAAAACATGAGTCAACACGGCTTTTTTTCGGAATATTAGTGGTATTGTTATGATCACCTGATGTTGATGGATAGTCCTTTTTAAATTTTTACAAAAAAATATCTCGAAAGTCGAACAAATATGCAAAAGTATGAAAGCCAGCGACGAAAAAGTACCAGTGACAGACAGGAGTGACGTCATCGGAACCATAGGTCCGTTTTCGCGCGAAAATTTAAACTGTCAATTTAAAATCGCATTTTTCCGATAAATTACAATGTTTTAATTTTTCAATATATCTGTGGTTTATTCTACATGGAATTCTTTAAAATGAAAACAAAAATAAAAATATTGCATCTTCGCTATTGTTCATTGTTTGTTCCGCCTTCACGTAACGGTGACCGTTACGCGCGTTACGTAAAAATCGCCACACATTCGCTAGTTTACCACCCAAGTCAAGCATGACTAAAGAAATTTCACTTCAAAAAAATTTATACTACACGTCATGCCATCATCACATACGTCCGCCGACGCACTACGGGAACTTTCGACTCATTTTCATCTCATAAATCTATAACTCCTGTGTAATGAAACGTAACGTAAAAGTAACTATTCAGTGTTCAGCCGTTCTGTGTTGTCCCTACAACGAAAATAGTCAAGCCAAGCTTGAGCTACATTAATTAATTCTCTAAACACTTGGTTTCGGTCGTGCTCAACCTCCAACGCTCGCAAGTCGCGCTCGTGCTGGAGCCTGGTCCGGGTTTCCTCTAGCTCCAGGCGTCGTAACTTCACGGCCGCAAACTCGCTCGCCGCTCTCTCGAAGGCGGTCGGGGCTCGTCTACGGCGGGCGCGCAAACGTGGGCGGCCGGTAGAAGTATTAGACTGCGGTATCGCCGGTGACCTGAACCGCGGACGGTGCCCGTCAGTCGGAGGAGTAGCAGATGCGCCGGGGGTAGATGGCCGCCTTCGCCTCGGAGGAGTAGTAGGGCCTGTTGAGGCGGGTGTGATTGGCGGGGATAGCGGAACTGGAAGGCCTCCCTGAGAGGAAAGTGCAGCGAGTACGCGAGGGCGGGATGGTGCTTGGGCCTGGGATGAAGTAGAAGGTTGTGGCTGTGGTGATGGTGATGCAGGCAGATCCAGCGTTTCTGGAAAAACAAAATTTGAGTTCAAATCTAAAAAAAAATATTACTAAAAAAACCATTCGGACTAGAGTCAATCGCTATCGCTTACGATTTCATTTTATTATTTCTGACCCCCGAAGGTTTTCAAGTACCTTACGCTCATTTTCTTTAATATTGTCATTACCAATGCAAAAGAAAAAAAAAGAGCGCGAGGAATTTCAAAACCTTTAACGGTCAGAAATAAGATAATGAAATCGTAAGCGATAGCCATAGCAATCACGTGACGCGATGGGCCCCGCAGCAGGAATTCCGCGTGGTGTTTTTTTTCTCACATTATTTTCTTTAGATTTAAACCAGTTTAGTGCTTAAAAAATAGAAATATAAACTAAATTTGTGTGTTCATTTTGGAAAGTTTAGAGATCTATGTGATTAAAGAAACAAATTCCATCTTTCATTGAAAATGATAAGACTTCCTTATCATTTTAAATGAAAGGAGAAAATTGTTTCTAGGATTTCTAATTTAATCTAAGAAAACATGAAACTAAGGTTACCTAGTAAATTTAGAGAATCCGGGTCATTCATTAAAATCATAGAATTGAATTTGCATAATTACATTTACATTTATTACTAAATAAATACAAAAGACGTACCATTTACAATATCCAAATATATTGGATTATCTTGGATGACAGGTGGAGATAAGTGTTGTGTGGGTGCAGCTGATTGGGACCTCTGAAAAAAATTGGTAATAATAGGTTAAATAAAGAGAATAAGGGACTTTTTGGCGGGATTGGGGAGCGTCACTTTAGCAGTTTTGTTTTTCTTGTTAAAAATGGTGTTGTGGCGGATGTTAGTGTCTAATAATGGTGGATTATTAACCACTAAGTGTTCGGGAATATGCACAGGTGTTGGCAAGTTAAACAAAATAGCGGAAAGTGTCTTTCGACGTTCCCTAAAGAAGTCCACGGGGAGGTTCCAGTAAATCCCCACTTTTACTGAAACATAGGGAAAGGGGGATTGACTTGACTGCCGCAACGCACAAGCCGTGCGAAGCCATTTAGAAAAAAAAACAGACTAAGTAAGTAATGGTAAAAATTTAGAAATAAGTCGCCCGTTTTGGGGTTTGTGAGGGAGGGTGAGGGAATTGAATCCAATCCCTATTTCCGGTCCCCGGAAGAAATACTTATTAACTTGCATAAAAAAAGTTCCTGTAGGACTCTTGAAAAATTAACTACACGAATTTTTGGGTCACAGTTAGACTTTATGGAATTAAAATTAACATATAACCTTCCCTAGGGATGGTCTCTTTTAAAAGAGATTTTTTTTCTGGCGCCGCGCCGGCCGCTGCCGCGGGACCCTCGCGCCATTCACAATGGCGGTTTGCGTTTCGTTTCACGCGTTTGTTTAATTTTTTCCTTTAAAGACAACAATTATACAAAACTAATATAAAAATTACGTTCCGATCCACTTTTCGGTTCTTCTTCTCACGATTTTATTAAAATAGTTTTAAAATATTTATACGCAACTCCGGCAACCAAAGTTAGTTTAGGGAGTCAAAAACGATATTACTTTACCCTAGCGATGCGCGACTATGAATGATGTTACCTTTCTACTAATTCTTAACTACTAATTTGTCTATTCGAAAGGCAAATTAGTAGTATACTAATGTTATTATTCGAATAACGACTTCTATAATTAGTTATACTTAGTTATAATTATTATAATTAGTTATACTCATGTCTTTATAAGAGCGCAACGAATAAGGTTAGGTTATTCATAATTTAACTCGTAACCCCGTACATGGTGCGGGGCCGAGGGCCGCCAACTTTTTCGGAGGGCAGGGGGCCGCGAGGAAGAAAACCTCTCTAAAAAATTACCCGGTGGGGGGTCACCAAGTGGCCCCGGAGGCGGAAGGCAGTTCGCTGCTCTGGAGGAGCTCGCAACCCCGTACGTAGTGCGGGACCGAGGGCCGCCATCTTCTTCGGAGGGTGGGGGCTGCGAGGAAGAAAACCTCTATAAAAAATTACCCTGGTGGTCTCGGCTGGTGCCCTGGGCATCCTGGGTAGCAGCAGCCGAGTCAGCAGAGCAGGGAGCTCTGCTCGGGGGGGGGGGGGGGTCTGAATCTCGGACAGGGCGATTGTGATGCAGAGGCACCACATTCGGCCATCCCGTAGTCCTGCACGTGGTGTGGGAATGGGGACCGTCACTCTGAGTGAGGGTCATGAGGAAGGACACCTCTTTAAAAGCCACCCTTAGTGTTTTGTGTTGTGGGGCTACCTCGCCCCTAAGAGGCACCACCCAAAATGGCAAGTCTGAATACACGTACAATTCCCCAGGTGGGTACCTGCGACTGCGGGGAGGCCCACCCGGGAGCCAAGGCTCCCGGCAGCTCCAAGAATCCTGGGGGGAGCAAGACCTGCCCATCGGCCAACGCAATGAGGCCGCCTCTAAACTGTGCAAAAGGGGGGGAGGGGGTTGTTGAAGGTGAGGAGAAGAGAATAGTTGTAGAAGGTGAAGAAATGATGGGGGTAGTAGAAAGAGAGAAGGGGGGGGGGGATAGAAGATGAGGTAAAGAGAAGGGTTGAGAAAGAAGGAGGAAAACCCGAGAAGGTCGGGGAAAAGGACGAGACCGGACCTGCGGATGGGCTGAAGCCTACTCCGACGACCTCGCAAAGCCAGGAACCTACTGCGAGTCACGATTTTGTGAGGCCCTCAGCGCCTGGAAGAGAGATTAGGACGAAGAAGGGAGAAAGTAGGAGTACAGTGGGGAGATGGGACTCCTGTGAGGGGAAAGCGAGAAGCAGACGCAGGAGTAGGAATAGAAAAGGGGAAGGCTTGTACATCACAAGCTCGGAAAGGGCAAGTGACAGAGAGGAGGAGCTAATCACGGAGAGGCTCACCAGATCCAAGACAAGAGCCAAAATTATGGCCGGCAAAAAGAGGCCAGGCGAAATGGACGCTCTGGACGGAGAAGCATTAGATGGTGTTTCTGCTGCACTACCCAAAATACATTCTGCTGGCAGGGGTAAAAAGACCGGACAGCACGTTGGCATTATGGGAGGACGCAAACTCGGCAAGAACTTAGAGCTGAACGAGCATATCGAGGAATACGACCGAGAGATGGGAGGCAACGGATTCATTGGAATAGCAGTCGGAACCAGCGAGGAAAGTGAGGAAGATGAGGACGAAGAAGGGGAGGACCCTAAGAGGAGGATAGGGACGGATGCAGGGACTGGAGTAGAGCATGGAAAGGTGAAAAGGATGGCTAGAGGACTTGACGAGTCTGCCAAGAGAGCGAGCAGCTCCCGCAAGTTCTTCATGAAGAGAACTGGAGAATCCGAAACCGCGAGGAACCCGTCCACGGAGGAAAAGGTAGAGGCGGCGAACGCTGAAATAGCGAAACTCAAGCACTCCAACCAACAGATGAGGGACGAGTTGGAGAGACTCAAGTCGGAACTAACTGGGGTAAAGAGGGCGTACGAGGCCAGAAATAGGGAGCAGAATGAACAGGATAATATAGCGAGGACATACAAAAGGCTCAATATCCCTACTGAGCCAGAGGCATACCTGGACTGGCTTAAAAATAGTCCTGCAAACCGCGCACCCGCAAATCAGGGCAATGGTGGATGGAGTAGCGGTAGATTATCAACTAGGTCCGAAGAAAAGCACCGCACCACCACTACGCGCGAGGCGCGCCTACGAGGAGAATGCCCCTACCCCTGCTCTTATATACAGTCAGGCGGTAGCGGGGCCCGGAAAAAAGAAGGGAAAGAGTCCGGGACAAGGAAAGGACAACCTTTCTCCTGGGCCAGCACTGCAACCCAGGAGAGAACAAGAACAAGAAGAAGGATGGGAGTTGGTACAAAGAAGGGGAAGGAAGGGAAAAGGACAGGGAAAGGGGTCAAGTAACCCCGAGCGGGCCGCCACCGCTGAGGATACAAGGACCACGCAGGTGGAGCCTGTGCGGAGGAGGGAGGCTTCCACCACCGTAAGAGGGCAACGCAAGCCTGCGCCACCTGGGAATGTCTCGAAGTTGAAGATCCCCCGATCGTCGGCCATTGTGGTGACTATACCACAAGAACAGATCGAGAGGGGTCAAACATACGTGGGGGTGATCCAACGGGCTAGGAAGGAGATAGATCTCAAAGCCCTGGGAATTTCAGACATTGATATAAAAAATTCGATCGCAGGGAATAGAATCATTGAAGTCCCCGGGGCTGCGAACTCGGAGAAGGCCGACCAACTTGCGGAGAAACTTCGCTCGCTATTGGGTGACACGGTCAACATAACGCGGCCAATAAAATGCGCCGACCTGAGAGTCACCGGGATAGACGACTCTGTTGAGCAAGAGGACCTCAGGGAGGCTGTGGCGAGGCTGGGAGGATGCTCCGCGGAGCAGATCAGGGTAGGAGCCATATTTCAAGGTCCGGGCGGCCAGGGGATTTCAACAGTAAGGTGCCCAGTATCGGCCGCCAAGACAATTAATTGCCAAAGCAGGCAAAATGAAGGTAGGGTGGAGTCTAACTAAGGTCCGGCTCTTGGACGTTCTCCCCATGCGCTGCTTTAAGTGCATGGGGACGGGCCACACACGTCAGATGTGTAAGGAGGAGGTGGACTACAGCAGCTGCTGCTATAGATGCGGAAAAACGGGTCATAAAGCAGCTAGCTGTAGGGCCCCACTTAAATGCAGGGTATGTGCAGAGGCCAACCTACCCAGTGGCCACCTAATGGGAAGGAAGAACTGCCGGCCTCCAGGAAAGAGACCGAGACACGAGGTGCCCGTAACAGGGCCAATTATGGAGGGGGTAGAGATAACGCCGCAATGACAAGTAGGGACCAGTGCAAAATCATTCAGGCAAACCTTAATCACTCCGCCGGAGCACAGGACCTCCTCCTACAGTCCGCGACGGAGTGGGCACTTGACGTTGCAGTGATTTCAGAGCCCTACCGCGTGCCGTCTGGATCAAACTGGGTAGGTGACCTAGACGGCACAGCGGCCATTGTGGCACTAAATCACGGGGGTCAGTCACCCTCTCTAGTTGTGAGGGAAAGAGGGAGAGGGTTCGCGATAGCCACATGGGGGGATTTCACCTTCGCCGGGGTATACTTCTCTCCCAACCGAACCACGGCACAGCTAGAGGCATGGCTAGATTCCCTGGAGGCGGCGGTCAGAAAGGCACCAACTGACAGAATTGTCGTACTCTGGGACTTCAACGCCAAACATATGGCGTGGGGGTCCCCGATCACGAATCACAAGGGAGAAGCTGTACTGGACTGGGTAGCAAGACTGGGACTGGTCATAGCGAATAGGGGCACGGAATTCACGTGCGTGAGGCCACGGGGAGGTTCCATAGTGGACCTGACCTTCATGTCGCCCGCACTTTCTCCTCGCGTCCAGAACTGGAGAGTGGTGGGGGAGGTGGAGACGTTATCGTACATCCGGTTCCGAATCTCCCCCCCGCCACACAGGCAGGCACAAATGTCCCAGGACAGACGGGCGCACTTCCCTCGGTGGGCAGTCACCCGGATGGACCCTGACAAGGTGGAGGAGGCAGCAGCGATTCAAGCCTGGAGTCTGGACGCTGATGACTCCCAAGGAGTGGAAGAGCGGATGGCAAGGTTTAACCGGGCGCTTAAAGCAGTCTGCGACGCTGGAATGCCACGAGTCAGAACCCCCTCGACCAGGACTCAAGTTTATTGGTGGTCAGGGGAGATTGCCAGACTGCGGGCGGCATGCCTACAGGCAAGGACGCTCCTTCGACGATGCCGAAGATGGGCGAGACGCACACATGGGGAGGAGGAGAGGCTCAGAGAAGGCTACAATAACGCGAAAAAGGCCCTCAAGGAGGAAATTTGCAGGTCCAAGACTCGAGCCTGGGAAGAGTTCCTAGCAGACCTGAACAGGGATCCTTGGGGGAGGCCTTACCGCGTAATAAGGAGTCGAACTAAGCAGCAGGCCCCCGCTACCGAGACGTTGGATCCGGAGCTACTCGAGGGCGTCGTGTCGGCGCTGTTCCCGGCAATAGTGCCGGAAATAGCGCGACTGATGGCCCCTCTAGAGTTAGCGGACCCGAACCAAGCGGCACCGGCCATATCGGCAGAGGAGTTAAGGAGGGCAACTGACAAGTTGCGTACCAGGAGAAAGGCCCCGGGCCCAGACGGTGTACCGGGTCGCGTCCTCCTACGGGCATTGAGTCACCTGGGCGAATATTTCACTTCGATACTGGACTCATGCCTGCGGGAGGGCCGATTCCCGGCGGCCTGGAACAAAAAAGATAGACCACTTGATTCCCCGACAGCTTATCGCCCGGTGGTGCTGCTGGATGAGGCGGGAAAGGTATTCGAGAGGATTCTCTCGGACCGCATCGTCCAGCATCTAAACACCGTGGGCCCTAATCTGTCGGGGAACCAATACGGTTTCAGGAGAGGGCGCTCCACCATCGACGCCGTAATGGAAGTTAAAAGGGAGACGCAAGCAGCGGTTGGCAGAGGGGAGAGGGTTGTCGCGGTGTCATTGGACATCAAAAATGCGTTTAACACTCTCCCCTTTGAAGTTATAAAAGTGGCACTTAGGTACCACCAGCTCCCCGCCTACCTAGTAAGGGTAATTGAAAATTACCTAGAGGAGCGGGTGGTACAATACGTGCGGGCGGACGGCTCTCTAGCGTCGAGAGGGATGGCCTGTGGGGTTCCGCAGGGGTCGGTCCTGGGACCGCTCCTGTGGAACATGGGCTACGATTGGGCTCTCCGTGTGGCCCTGGTGCCCCGGATAAGAGTGCTCTGCTATGCGGATGACACTCTTGTCCTTGCCCGGGGCCGGGACTACGGGGAGGCCAGCCGTTGCGCAGCGGTAGGGGCTTACATAGTCATTGCGCGAATCCGCGCATTAGGACTAGAGGTAGCGGTCTCTAAGACTGAGGCCATCATGTATTATGGCCCACAGGCCAGACCACCCGCAGGCGCGAGAGTACTGGTGGACGAGCAGTGGATACCCATAAAGCCGCACATGAAGTACTTGGGGCTGGAGCTCGATGGGAAGTGGCGGTTTGACTACTACTTTAAAGCTGGTAAGTGCGGCGGCGGCATTAGGTAGACTGCTCCCAAATGTGGGGGGACCTGGCGCCAGCTGCCGAAAGCTGTACGCGGGGGTTATAAAAAGCATGGCACTGTACGGTGCGCCGGTGTGGGCGGACAGCCTCAGCGCGGTCAACAGAGCAGAGCTCAGAAGACCGCAAAGGCTGGTGGCCATAAGAGCGGCACGGGCGTACCGGACAGTGTCATATGAGGCGGCATGTATCCTCGCAGGGATGCCCCCCTGGGATCTGGAAGCACTCGCGCTTGCAGAAGTGTACCAGGGGAGGATCCAGGCGAGGGAAAGGGGAGAGCGTGCCACAATAGAGGAAGTAGCAGGCATACGCAGGGAGGCAGAAGAAGCGCCCAGGAGAGGCTGGAAGGAGCGACTCGACAACCCGACGGCGGGGGGGAGAACAATCGGAGCGATTCGGCCGGTATTCAGGGAATGGTTGGACAGGGGGAGGGGGACGCTTACCTTTCGATTGGTGCAGGTACTTTCCGGGCACGGATGCTTCGGAAAGTATCTGCACCGGATCCAGAGGGAGGCGGACCCCTCATGCCATGAGTGCGGCGATGCCGAGGACACGGCGCAGCACACTCTAGAGGTGTGCTCGGCGTGGACTCGGCAGCGTAGCACTCTGGCGGAGACTGTAGGGACGGACCTCTCGCTGCCCGGCATGGTAAAAGCCATGCTGGATAGCGATGGGTCATGGCAGGCGGTGGTCTCCTTCTGCGAGGATGTCATCTCGCAGAAGGAGGCTGCGGAGAGAGTCCGCGAGGTGCAAGCCCTCGCGGGCTCTCTTCGCAGCAGGAGGGGGAGGAGAGGCAGGCGCACACCGGCGCATCTTCTGCCACCCTGACAAAGGGGTTGGCCGCAGAGGGGCAAGGGGGGGACTGGGTCACGTAGGGACCCTAGGATGGTCAGCACGTCGAGTGCTGAACACCGATCAACGGTCCTTCTCAGGACCAGGGTAGGAGCATCACCCCACAGTGAGTCTGATCATTGCGATTGGCGGTAGATGCTCAAAAGGCCCTTCTTAGGGCCAAGGGGGGCGGGAGAGGGACGGAGAGAACTACGCTCTCCCTCCCACTCCTGTGAGAGCCGCGGGTCTGCCCTGGGGGGGGGGACCGGCCTGCATTGCACAAGCTCTCTTGATGCTGGTGCCCGTGATACTCCGGGGCACCTTCATCGGGGTGGGTCCGTTCGCGGACAATCACCTTGGGGGTGCGCGGACAGTCGGCAACGGTTGCCGCGACCACGCCCGCACTCCCGGCGTGCATTGGGGGGACTGCGGTCCTCAGAATGTACGCCGGGTGACCGGTGCAGAAGTATTGTCTGGTTTTTAGTGGCGTTAGGTAGGGCCCTGCTCATTTCACCCGGCCGAAGGGCTGGCTGAAATGAGCAGGGAGGAGTCCCACATACCTTCTTCTCGCTCCCCCGGTGGTTGAAGGATGCGTAAAGCATTTCCCAGACAAAAAAAAAAAAAGAAAAAAGGTTATTCATAATTTGCCTTAGTTCACTTAGTTTCCGTACGTTCGTACTTGGCGCCTGCTACGATAGTCTTGTATCTGTTATTAATTATTATTTTTGCAGTGAAAACAATATTTAAGAGTGAATTTGTTTAATATTATGTACTTGTTTATATATATTAAAAAAAAAGTTCATATATCGATCTTATCATTAAAAACGTTTGAAAGTAGTACCCTATTGACTCTGCTCTTCTCTTTCACTCGTCGAGTTTGCCCGAGTCGACCCGGTTTGTTCGTCTACGTCACGTACG